AACTTGCTCCAATCATCACAACACCTCAAACAACATCAAATTACTCAAAACTCATCGAATTCAAGCCTAAGTTTCTCAAAACTTCCGAAATGCGCTTCCGATCAAAAACCCGACCAAACGACGTCCGAATGACCTGAAATTTTGCACACATATCCAAAATCACCTAACGAAGCTACAGAAATTCTCGGGATTTCATTCCGACCCTCGGATCAAAATCTCACCCATCAACCGGAATTCGCCAAAATACTAACTTCGCCGATTCAAGCCTAATTCTACACCGGACCTCCAAAATCAATTCCGATCACACTCCTAAGTCACAAATCAGCTCCCGAAGCTAACCGAATCACCAGAAATCACATCCGAGCCCTCTAACTCATAAGTCAACATCCGGTTGACTTTTCCAACTTAAGCCTTCTTAAAAGAGACTAAGTGTCTCATTTCCTACCAAAACCAATCCAAATCAACTCTAAGACACCAAATACTGATAATGAAACATGAAGAAGCGTAAAAATGGGGGAAACGGAGCGGTAACTCATGAGACGACGGGTCGGGTCGTCACATCCTCCCCAACTTAAACTAACGCTCGTCCTCGAGCGTACCCAGAGTTGTCCTAGAAGCCAACCAACAGCTGAAATACCTTACCAAGCATATACCCGGGGTGATCCCACGTCACCCTATCTCTTATAGGTCCGACAACACAACATAGCTGAAATTACCCAATCCAGTCTAGTCCATAATTCATAGAACTACCTTTTCACTTCTGAAACCATCAATACGATCAAAACCTCACACCTATACTTTGAATAATCCCGAACCAGCTGTAATAACCCATACTTGCAACCTCAGTGAAATCATATGATATACCACATAATCCAAGCACTCGAAACGATAACTTTTATTCACAGTAGTCACCCACAACAACCAGATACCGATCGAAAATCTCTTATTTAGCTAAAGTCTTATTCCAACACTTTCATATACTGCCAAGATACATGAGACACGCAGCAAACCATAACCATTTCTCGGATCAACCACTCATGAAGCCACTCCCCCTTTGACTAATACCCCAATAGATTTCCGAGCCGAACCTCGATATTATCCTTCTAACAAACTGAAATCAAATCTGTTCATATTCATTAATGACTCCACGATCACCTCGAATCCAACACACCACTCCGGTGATATGACACCTCAACACAGGCCTAAACCACAACTTGCATAATACCCGCACCAATGAGGAATGGTCTGAACATACTCAATTCATGACAAATGACTCAACGAAAGAGCTGTACCTCAAGCTTATCAGTACCATTACAACACAAGGCTGAGACCCCATCTCACATCATAGAAATAGAACAGCTGAATCTACCTCGAAAGGTCATAACTCCACGTGGCCTCGCCACAATGCGCGATCCTATCCAACCACTGTTACACATGAAACACCTCAAGTCGCTATGCTCAAAACCGACAGCCACGCACAATTTGATGCCTGAAACCAAAGCAATTCATTACACCCACGGTGAAACAAATAACATACGACACGCGACCCGATAGGTCATAGCCGATACTCCAATTACCGATCAACACCCAATTACTCTTCCCGCTCGACTTCCTCTATGAATCCCCAATAGAACCGCACCACATGTGCCCATATCCAACAAATCATAACGTCTCACAGCACAGAAAAGCAACTCATAGATCTCCCCAGATCACTAGCAAGTTCAATAACGATCGAATCAACCTACCCCTCAACAACACAATTCGGGGCCAACCCAGCCAACTCAAGCTAAACACGTATCCAATCAGCTTACCAATGAGCTCATTACCAAGAAGCCTGAAGCTGCTCCTTCCACTACTATAACTCCTGCCGGAGCCGTACGATACGGTGCCCGGTACCAAATCAACATAGAAATCCACAACCTCGCCCGGCAACATGCCCGGCCACAAGAAACGCATCCGAAAAGTCCCTCAATACCGGAACTGAATCAATGGTAGAAACCTCTGCACTAACATCCGCCACGAAGGCCCAATTACGAAAAGCAATCCTTCCCAGCCGTCTGCTGGTCTTTGGAGTACAAACCACTCTGCTAGAACATAATCTGATGCACTCCGCCACGCAACCTGTGGCATTTTCCGACATAGCCCATAGCACACTAGTCTAGAATAACCCAACACTGAGACAACCAGTCTACACCCCAATATCATATCCAAAATCTAATATACCAAGTAAAGAAAGATCCACTCGGGCCTCCAAATCCCAATAGCCGCTAACGGTACCAATACACATGATCCACAACCACTACAATGTCTGTACCTGAGAACTCCCAGTCTCCAACTCCATATAGCACACGAATCACTGTACCTGATCCCAAATTCCGCATTATGAATACATATTACACCTCGAGTACCCAATCATTCCACGAAAGATATTCTAAGATTCCCCTGTGCCATCAAACAAACTCAGACATCAGCAGTCGATCTAGCAAGAAGGCACCGCAATACT